TGGCTAGGCCACTCCAGGACTTTCAAATGCTTCTTACGGAGCCACTCCTTTGTTGCCCGGGCGGTGTGTTTTGGATCATTGTCATGTTGGAAAGGTTAAGGACTTTCTTCTGTACTTACATTTGGATCACCTAAATCCATGACAGTCATTCAGGCAGTAATACCTGTACTGGAAACAAACCATCCTTAAAATATTACAACATACCAGCTTCTGTGTTTGAGTGCAAAACAAATGTGTTGTTTGATCTAGAGACTGCACTTGTTGTGACTGAACAACAAATACTTTTTATTTTGATTATGTTAGTAACGTAAATTGTAAAATAAAGTTGTGGAAAGTCTAAACTTAGTTTCAGAATAATGGACTCTGAGACTCATTGTAAGATTATAAACAGTGATGACAATATAACTGTTGTTGTTTAGCAGAACAGTGTCCACTATGTTGAAAATAAAAGTTGGGCTGATTTTGACACCATTACAAGAAGTGTTGCTAATTATTCTTTTTGAATCATACTTGCATACAGTGTTATATTTCTATAAGTGCTGTACTAGAAATATCAAGTATGATAAAACATAATCTGTTTTTTTAAAGGGAAGTTACCACAAATTCTTTTTTTTTAATTTATTAGAACTTGAAATATTTGTCAGTGGGTAAACAATTAGTATTGCACAGTCATAAAAGTCAAGTTATCCTTAGTAGTGCATACTTTCAATGAATACGTTGTCCTAACATAGACATCTTAAGTAAGCTTTACTCAGTTTTTTTGAGGCACCGACTTTGCATAGTTTTTTTCAGTTTTGGGAACTTATTCATTTTACAGTATATGTGGCCTGTCCTTTTTGTATATTATTTTTTTTGCCCTTTCATAGATAAACATGATTTTACACAATCATAGCCACAATAATTTGGAAAATTATTTAACAGCAATTTTTAATGTAGGTTTTTTTAATGTAATGTTTTTTTCTTCTAATTTTGATGTTGAGAATACAACTCCCACTGCTGTGCTGCCAGGTAGTTTAATGAGTCACTGGATGAGTGATGTGGAAGTGAGCAGATAAGGAGGGGATATCTTTGTTCTACTCTGATTATTAGTACTGTTATACCAAATGGCTTTTAATTCACTTCTGAATATAATTCCACTGAGACGTGATTTCACAGATTTTATTTCAGGGATGTTACAGGTCAGAGAACTAAATATTGATTTTTAAACACTGAGCTCAGATATATGGCACACTGTTTTATTTGAACTCTGCTGGACAGCTTTGTTTCACATCGTGTGGTGTGATGATGTCAGTTTCCTGGTCTGTGATTGGCTCAGGCATTGCAGCGGTTGGTGTGACAGCAGGTCCAGCCAGGTCGAGAGCAGAACTCCAGCCGCGTGCACCCTTTATCTCCATTATCTGCAGACAGGAAACATACCAGTGCATTCACTACAACAGACTTATTAACTGACTTAGTATTGTCACATACTGGGTGTGGGTGTAATTAAACTTTAAGTAATATTCTTGGATTTGTTGTTCTTCATGGTTTTGGTTCTCTTTATTGTTTTCTGCTCGGTTTATATTCTTAGTTCCTAGGCTTTAGATTTCTGTTACTTTCCCTTTTGCTCCACATTTCATGACTTGTCACCCTTCATGTTCCCTCTGTCTCCTCAGTCAGTCATGTCTCCATGTCTCATTGTCAAGTCTGACACTTAGTTTTTGAGAACTTGTGATTCACAAATCACTTGTGATGTGATTTCCTGAGGTCAGATGGCCCAGGGTGTGAGTGGGCGTTAAGGCGTCTGGGAAGGATCTCAAAACTGGATTATAGATTTTTTGACAGTTGGTGTCGTAAGCCACCGCCTCTGTTCAAAGATCGGTCACAGTTGTTAGGATGCCTGGGTCGTTGACCCAGGGTTTTGAGTTTATATATTATTTATCATTTCTATGCTTTGGTATCTTTGTTAGAGTTATGTCTTATGGTTTGTCTCTGTGTAATCCTTAGTTGCTGTCTCCCCTGTCCACTATATCCCCGTGTCCAGTCTGTGTCTGCCCAGGTCCCACATCTCTGTTCCCTCTGTTGTAGTGCCTGCATGTGAGTCTGTGTCTTTTGTTCAGTCTGTGTTATGTGTTTCCTGTTTTACTTTGAAGGTCTCTGTCTTATCTCAGTGTGTTCAGTTTACGCTTCCTTGTCTCGTCAGTTCTGATTTCCCCCAGCTGTGCTCTCCTTCTGTGTCTCATTCCCCTTGTTACTTCCCAGTGTATTTAAACCCTGTGTTTCTCTGAGCCAGTGTCGCGTCGTCCCTCATGCTGTGTGGATCTCTCTGTGTCTCACTGTGAGTTCAGTTTATGAGTTTCCAGTTTAGTTTAGTTTAGTTTGCTTTTTTTATGACTTTCCCCTGCCAGCAAATAAAGCTGAGTTCTTTGTGTTTAAACCTCATGCCTGAGTGCCTGCATTTTTGGTCCAACTCCTGGCTGCCACACAGCGACTCATGACAACAGTGGACATAAATGGCTTCTTTCACTCCTCTTTCAAACCATCTGTCCTCTCTGTTCAAAATGTGAACATTGGCATCCTCGAAAGAGTGACCTTTGTCCTTTAGATGCAGATGGACTGCTGAGTCTTGTCACATGACTGTGTGGGGCCAGGGAAAGGATTTAGATTTTTAATTGTCAGTATCTGTTTTTTATATTAGGAATTAACATTAAATTCCAATCTCAACTTGTTGGATTGAAAAACAAGGAGACACAGCTGAACACACCCCTGTCCTGGAGGACTCACCTCTGGTGTAACAAGCTTGTTGGACTTTGCCGGTGCACTGCAGCAGCTGGTTGTTGACCATCAGGAAGTCCTGACCATAACACTCGATGTAAAACTGCTCAGCTGCAACAAAAGCAGGTTAGGGATGTGTTTAATTGTTTTCATTAAGGCTACGTCCACACATACACGAAAATCTTTCAAAACACAGCTTTTTCTATGCGTTTGGGTCTTTTGTCCACGTGTAAATGATGTTTTTGATCACTGACAACTGAGATTTTTTAAAGCTCCTGCCAGAGTAGAGATTTTCAAAAACTCACTTTTTACGTTTACCTGTGGACGAGGAAAACAGATTTAGTAACGTCAAAGGTGTGCACCTGTTTTGACGTCACGCTGTGCGCCATGGTATTGTTTACATGAGATAAATTTCTAAAATGCCGGAGAGAGACAAAATACTGTTGCTGTTAATCTGACTAACTGCAGTTTTTACACACTTACACATGCAGTTACCAACTCTCTATTTACACAGAGAGAGGCGTCACAGTGAACTTCAGACGTGGCTTCTCCGGGTTTTGAATGATTGTAATTTGTTTTAAAATTACATTTATGTATGCTAAAATAATGGTTAAATGTTAACATTTGAAATGATGAAGACAGTTTAAAGTAACACAAAGTTATCTGTCTTTACAGAAAAACAAAAACTTTTCAGAAGTACTGCAGGTTGCATAAAACCCTGTTTATTCGTTCCCTCCCAGGCTTCTAGACTTCTAATTGGCCAATATTTCTAAACGGCGAGGATTTGGCACGTTCTTGACAACGTTTGACTGTGTTTTTGGTGTTTACACTAAGCATGCTTTTTCTTGATTTCACACATGCTGGTGGAGCAAAAATCTGTCTGAACAGATATGGGTAAAATATTACCCAGAATGTACAATAATTTATAGCACCTGCACAACAGTCAAAGCTTTTAAAATATTGTAATTTGAGACTAACAGAATGATTATTAGGCTAGTTCAATGATGTCAAAGTGAGTCATATTTAGATTAAACAGTATATAAGGCTTAAAACACCAATTAAGATATAAATAAAGGTTCTCTAACAAGAATCCAGACTCATAGGTGATGATTATTTTTCAGTAGTCTGCACATTGCTAGTAATTTGTTTCGACCAACTTGAGATTAAGAATACTGTCCTACTTTCAGCGTTCAGTTTAGTTACCTGAGCAGAGAGGTATCAGTAGAAGCAAGAGCAGATAAGCCTTCATGTTTTGGTTTTATGTCAATGCAACGAACAGCAAAAATGGAGATGAGCACACTCGAGCTGGACTTTTATCCTCAGCTAAAACCACAAATGTACACAAAGGTTAACAGATAGATAACTGATCAGAAGACAAAATGTACTGAACTCAAATTACTGTTTGTCTAAACTTTGTTCCATTAGTTAATCATGAACCAGTAGGGTAAAGAGGGTAGACCTGTACATCTGAGTCGGCTGCTTTTGCTGAGTCTCGAGTCTATGTAACATCAGATGTTCAGACAGAGGTTTTTTTTATTTTATTTTTTATTGAATTGGACCAGGGATATCTTCTTCCCCAAAGCCATTACCATAGTCAACTCAAACTTGCATTAAGTAATCTGAACTGAAATATCATCAATTCTCTGCTTGTCTGTCTCTGTGTCATCATTGTACTGTGTATTTATATTTATAATAAGTGTATAGTTAAATTATTGTATAGTTTTTATAATGTGCTATAAAGCAGCGGTCCCCAACCTCTTTTGCGCCACGGACCGGGTTAGGGTTAACCTAACCCAAACCCTATGCCCGACAATATTTTCATGGACCGGCCTTTAAGGTGTCGCAGATAAATACAACAAAATAAAACTAGTACCGGTACCGAAAAAAAGAAAATTTATTCATAAAAGACCCAGGAAAGCCAAGTAAACGATAAAAACGATAACAAAATAACGCTGAAAACCGATAAAAACCCTGAAAACTATACATTTCACACCTGAGCCTCAACTCTCGCGGCCCGGAACCAAACGACTCACCAACCGGTACCGGTGCGAGGCCCGGGGGTTGGGGACCGCTGCTATAAAGCACATGTGCACTTTTATAGAGCTGTTTCCAATTTTGCTATACCATGTATAATGACAATAAAGTCTTTCAATTCAATTAAATACAGTATTTTTTTTTTTAAATAAAATAATGATAAGAAAGAGTGATTCCAAAACTACTCCAAAAGCAGGAAAGGCTGGGTTTGATTTAAAGGGGCATGATTAACATATAGTCATGAATGACCTTTCTGTCTGGTATAATGAACATGCCTGTTTGTTATAGTCATAGCTAGTTTGTCATAGTCATAGGTAGTTTGTCATTCAGATTTAGAATACTGTAGGCAATTTTCATATGTATACTATCAACTAATTAACTTTCCAGTTGTAATTCAGTTGAAAACCTTACTTTTGTTAGACCTCAGTACAGTTTTGGATACTGTTTACAACCATATTCTATTGCAGGGATTAGAGCATGCCACAGGTATTAAAGGTGCTGTGCTTCAGTGGTTTAAATCATATCTAATAGAAGTGAGTTTGTTCATGTAAATGAGAAGCCCTTTTCACCCATCAAAGTTAGGGTTAGGGGTTAGGGGGTTAGGTTAGGGGGTAATAGGGTTAGGATGAATGTTTGGGCCCCTCCTCCAATTGGAGGCGGGCGGTGCACGGGCCATCCCTTGGTAGGGTGTCTGGATCCTGGATTGTCCACGGTGTCTGCCATGGCGCACCAGGGTCCAGTCAGAAGTCCATCCAACCATAATAAGTTGGATGGAGGCGAGTTTTTTAATTTGGTTTTTCTACCAAATGAAATTAAATTGGAAATGAAATGAAAATTTTAACTTAGAATTTTAAATTTTTAACTCAAATTTTTAATAAGTTTTTAAAGAATTAAAATAAAAAAATCAAGTGGTTTTGAAAAAAACCTTTTAGTTTTTAAAGAAGAATTAAATAAAATCACAAAAAGGCCAAATGAATATTAATT